AAACATAACACCATAGGCCCCTCTGACAGACCGATATTAAACGTACTCACGCGCTCGCGCACGAGCACACACACACACAGACACACAAACAAGAATTCACGCACGCACATGCAAACACATATAAACGTACACACACACGCCCGCGCACACACACCCACACACACAAACATACGAACACACATAAACACACACACACACAAACATACGAACACACACAAACATACGAACACACACAAGCGCACACACAAACACACACATGTACAAACATAGACAGAAACACAAGCACACGCACAAAGGAAACAGCCTAGACGGTGAGATAGTATAAAGAACGTATAGGAAACTGCATTACAGAAGACAAGAGAAGCGACTGTTTAGATTGGCAGAAAGAGCATACAGCACAGACCGGGTCACAAGGGGCAATGTGGTCAGTTCCACGCGGCCATTCTCACCGGCTCCCATAATTATAGTAGACATTTTAATGAACATTTTAAAGTTGTCTGATAATGCTTTGAAATGCTTTCACTTGAAAGCCCTTCCATTTATAATCATAAAATAGTTTAAATTGTGTTAATCTCTATATTAGTTAAAACCATACCTAAAATCCGGGCAGTTTCAGACCATCATAGAGGGTTTTTGTGACACCAAAATGCAACTTTACAACAGGGACGACCATTACTCTACAAAAAAGTGCATAATATTTTTAAAATAAATGTTACACATCAATTTGGTGGTGATATTTTACATAAAATGTACACAACTACAAAACACCTTGACAAAGTCACTGACACTTTTTGGGGACTTAAACAGGCGCAGAGTGATAAAAAAAAATATTACCCTCAAGGAAAACCCAAAATTGCCAGATGTGCAATATCTTCACTTCTAATATAGACTTAGACCAGACTTCGACCAAGAGCAATCGAATGTTTGCCTCTCCGTCCTCCCGGTAGGTGATCCTATTAAGGTGATGATGGGGCCGTAAGCCATTATAATAGATTTTCTGTCATTGTTCTGTCACTTTCATTATAATGAAGTCCGTTTAAGACAGACACCCCCCCTCCCCCCATCCCCAATCCGTCTCTTCAAAACAGTGAGTATGAGTTTTAAGTTGCCGCAGCGAATCTCTCAACTTGAAAATGACCATTAAAATCTGCTTCCTTAAAAAACCCCGAAGAAACACACACACACACACACACACACACACACACACACACACACACACACACACACACACACACACATAGAC